CTTCATCCGAGTTAATTCGACTCATAGCAGGTGCATGATGGTACCCATAATGCGGTGTATAAATAAGGTCATGGCTTGAAAAAGATGAAATCCAGAAAAATATTTCAAGTCTCATTACAGAACTTTCTAGAAAGTACACCGGAAACTTGTTGAATTTGTTTGTAGAAAATATCACGAATTGTAGGATGGCAATTTTTTTTTTTTTTAGATTCATGCCTGATGCGAACAGAAGATTAGAATGCCTTCTAAATCCCTATATGTTTTGTGTGGGCTGGTTTTAAAATTTAGAATTCGGCCAACTTGGCGGATAATTTTATGGGTACTGTTCAAAAAACCTTAAGCTCACGGGACTACCCAGAAAATTCACCCTCGTCAAGTTTCCTGGAAAGCTTTGCCTGAATTCGTAGAAGTGTAGAAGTTGAAGTATTAGAGTTCGATCTGAGCTTTTGGGCACACGTGTTCGAGCACCAAAAAAAACTGACATTCAAGATCGAGTGAAAAGGGTGCTTGACGCTTCTTTTCTATGACTATTTAGCAGTAACGTTTTATTCACGGAACATTTAAGAAAAGTAGACCCTGCCGAGTCACAAACCTCTCTGATTTAATGATCCAGTTAATTTCTGACAGATTCCCTCAAATCCACTGAAATTTTAAACCTTCATAACACTAGAAGCTTTTTGGTTAAATAACAATAAATTAGCCAAGCTTCTAAAGCAAAAAGAACGAAAACCAAAAGAAACAGTTGGAAATTATGTTATTCTTGTTAAACACGAGGGATTAGGCATGTTTTTGCAGGAAGGACACATCTATGAATAGCAAACTGTTCTAATAATTTGATCATCGAAAAAATTTCCACTGATCAATCGACCTAAATTAATCTGAATTAAACTCTTTCAGTCAAAATTTTAAAGAATTCCTTCCAATTAAACTTTAGTGTGCCATTCCGTAATGCTACAACAATCTTGAACCGTCCTTGAAATAAAAAACACAAAAGATCCTGGGATTTCAAAAAAAATGTAGTGAAAAATTAATGCGCTGCTGATCAGCAAGTACGGATAACTTAATTTATCTTCTTAAATAAATGCAAATGACATCGGGCGTTTCAATTATGGCGCAATGTAATATGATTCAGTGCTTCGGGGAATATACAGACTGCAAAGTAAGGCAATACCTAGAACCAGCCTCGTACTGTGCATCTAAAGCACAGGGATGCATTAAATCTGAGCAGGATGTATACGAGGTGTATGCTCCGGATGCACTTCAATTGTGTGCATCATACATCTCTCTCTCTCTCTCTCTTTTGTGCGAGAAGCGTGGGAAGAAAGATACAGACGTTGTTGAGCATCTCTGCCATCTTGGGTGTACATCTGAGATGCATTGCAGAGCCCACTTGCAGCTTGGCTCAGTCATGCTCTCGACCAGGAGAACCGAACAAACCAAAGACCCACCCAAGTATAAGGACAGGATCCCTGGGCCTTCATTAGGCCAAGCTTGCAGCAGGAATGAGCATTGGTGCAACACAACGCACTGTGCACACAGTTGGTCTGCGGAAAACAGTAAATTAGCTGACCGTGGAGATTCCCCAGTGAAATGAAGCGAGAGAACTTAATCTCGAGCTCAAGTACGCGCTCCTTCAAAGCCCACTTGTGCCAGTCACGAGAAAGCCTTTCTTTGGGTGGAAAAGAAAACCTCAAACGTTTCGTGAAGCTTTTTTTTTTTCGCCGGCGGAAAAAGTTTTACTGAGCAATGTGATGGGAGTGATTGCCGCGCTTTAACCAAGCCAAAATATGTGCCGATAATTCAGAAACATAGGGGATGTTCCTGACATAACTACAGTACTTCTCAGTTTGTGTCCTTGTTTTGAGATTTCCGCTCGTTGGATCACATTTTTCCGCAGATTTCAATCGGAAGATTTTGCCTTACTTCTCAATGACTTTCACAAAATTGGGAAAATTCCTCAAAAAATTAAAAAAAATATTTCATCAACTCTAGGATGCCTAAAATAACTACAGGATAGAACCAAACAAATAAGGCTGCCCTTTTGGTGCCAAATGAACATGAAAGGGAGCTGACTCTTCATGTTTTTGATATGGAAAAACCTCCAAATAGAATTTGAATCGCTCGTGATAATTAAGATAGGAAAATCATTATTGAATTCATTTTTGCTTCAAATTAATGTGCATCAAATGCACATGGGATTATAACGTGCTCTATTAATTCGTTAATGTTCACCTCAGCTATAATAAAATAAGTTGAAAAAAATAAGTCACCAAAAAAATCCAGAAGGAAAAAAAAGCACACACATTTATATTCTTTGCAGATTGCATGAAAAAAAGCATCCATGAACACACAGAGGCATAAAATCAGCCTGTTTTGCAAATAAAAATCACGCAGTGTTCAAATTGCATCCAAAAGGATCATCCGAAGAAGTTAATTTGACATCAATAATTGACCTTTCACTTCTTGCAGCATTTATTGTAGCATGCTATAGATTTATCAGAGCATAACTGCACATACCACAAGATAAATTCAGAAAAAAATTAGCGTGCTCGCAAAACGCATTCATTTTTTTTCAAAAACACGTGAATTTCGCAATACAAAATGTAAATTGAATGGAATAAAAAATGATGACTTTAAGTTTAAGCTTTTCGAGTAATGCTGTTCAAGTATATGAACGTGCTGTTCACAGAAACGGTCACGCTATAAATAGTTTTATATTTGAAGGGGATGATGGGGGGAAAAAAGGCTGATCGTAAAACACGCTGGCGGGTTTTTCATCCCCGGAAAGGTTACGATGTTTGAAATTGCCCCTTGAAGGCTTGGAATCTAAATAAGGCATTTCCTCACATTTGCATGTTTCCTCGGCCTCCTTCTCTCCAACTGCATGTAAAGACCGGAATTCAATTTGCGTCTCGCTTTCACCTGACAGGTTTTCACGATTCATCATAGGTGAAGCTTACATTCACAATTCTAATACAGTATTATGATTAAAAGGCTCGGACTCGAAACTTCAAAGAAGGTTGAGTGTGAATCGCGAATTATGAACCTGAAAGGGAGCTGGACTCTTCAGGTTCTTGATATGGAAAAACCTCCGAATAGAATTTGAATCGCTCGTGATAATTGAGGTGGGAAAATTATTATTGAATTTATTTTTGATTCAAATTAATGTGCATCAAATGCACATGGGGTTATAACGTGCTCGATTAATTCGTTAATGTTCACCTCAGCTATAAGAAAATAGGTTGAAAAAATGAGTCACGAAGTATTGCAACCAATAAGCTTGACTCTCGAGTTTATTGCCGGAAAAAAATAAATTAAGGATAAAAAAAATTTAGGAAATTCTGGTTTCAAGATTTTACCACCGTGTTGATGTTAACGACGTTTGACGCATGTTCTTTTGGAATTTTTTTCGGTAATCATCAGAGTTGGACTTGAATTGTCCGTTTCGGTGCACCATAAAAAAACCATTTTAAATGCACAAAAACCAAGTCACATCTTTCTTTTTTGTTCAGAAGCAAGGATTTTATTTTCGAAATCATTCCCAGAGTATTAATAAGCAAATTTAAATAATAGTGCTTTAAATAAACTTTTACTGCTGCTTTTTCTTCAATATTGGGGATGGGTGGATGTATGCAGCATATGTGTAGGATGTCCAGTTTTATTTTATTTTGTGGAGTGTGTTCTCTTCTGTTTTTGTCATTGGTTTGTGCTTTGTTTCATGATATGAAGTGATTGAATGTCTTGGGGGGAGTTGAGTTGGGTGGGGAGGGGGTTTGGATGCAGGAGTTTTGGTTGTGCCTTGTGAACGCTGAAAAGCGGCAAATAAAGTTTTCTGTTCATTCATTCATTCAAGCAAATTTTTATCGGACACTAGTATCCCTTCAAAATTGTCTATGAACTGTGAGAATGCACAGTTTAATCATGCCCATGTTCATTAATTCGAAGTAACCCCGCCCCTCCCGTTTAATTATATCCGTCGTTCTTGTTTATGCTACAAAATTTTCTGGATTCAGGCGCAATATAATCCATTCTTAAAGAATTCCTTTTCGTAATTATCCCAACGAATACAGTAATGACTGTTGTAAACTCAAGGAAACCCCTCACGAGATCCAGGCCAGCTCTTGAGAGATTCTGAGTGAATTTGATGGAATCTAAATAAGGCTGATGGAATCTAAACAAGCCGATTGTAAGTTTTACAATCGGCTTGTTCGAGATTGGGAAGTACCGTATTTGTATCCATGATTACGTCCTTGCTTTATTTATTGAGTTCAGAAAATTGCTCCTTATTCTGTGCTTCGCTTACGGTATTTAAAGCGAAGTGAGGTCGATTACTCTTCGTTGCGCAACCTTCGATCAACATATTTGCCATTCACTAGCTCAGTGTTCTCCGTGCTTTTTGGGACCTTAGACTGGCAAATTTCCCTAATTTGTTTTTGCTGACCGGTGAAGTTCCAAAAAAGTTCATGCGGACTGGCAACGTTTCATAAAATGTTTACAGACTTGAAGAAATTTTGTTTGAAAGGCTTGATGGCAGGTATTTAAAAAAGCTTCTGCTTTTTAGAAAAAATTGAGTCAAGTACCAATGAAGCAGCTATAGTGGAATGTCTTCAAAATATTAGAAAGGTGTGCTTGCAGAAAGGTTTTTCAGAATTAAAAATTGAAATGATTCATTTCAGCAGGTGAAAATTTGTCTGAAGTGTTATTAGGAGAAAAGCCAACTTTTATTTTCCATCAGTTAATTTCCACTGCCATTGCCTTTACAAAATTTCAGAAAAACATAACAGACTACATTTTTGCTTTTTATGCATTTATTACGCTGGAGAAAAGTTCCTGCGGACTGGCAAAAAACTTCTGCGGACCGGCGCCGGTCCGCGGACCACGGGCTGGGAAACACTTTGCCCCAGCTTGATTCCACTTCTGACATGAAGGAAGCTTTATTGAATGATGTAGTTCAGGAAATATTATACAGGTATATTATTTTCCTTTCCTTTCTCCCGCACATGCAGGGTCGAGACTACGACTCAGACGACGCCAGAGAAGACCACAAAATGCGTCTCGTTTCAGCCCGTTTGCAATGGGAGCAATTCCTGAAATCTCGGCCGAGGACGCACAGTACCATTTCCTTGCGTTCCGGGCAGATTGCGCCGAGTTTATCCTTCGAATCGCCTCAGGTAAGAATTGCAAGATTCATGTTGGAATTCCGCCAGAGGTACCCTCCAATTGTTCCCTCTGGGTTAGACCGATGCGAATGTCAAGAAACAGTATCTTGTCCATCATCTATTCGAAAACTGAGATCAGTTGTTAAGCGAAGTATTATGTTGAGAAACTGCTCGATTTGTTTCCAGATATTTTATAAAAGTCGTGGTATAGCCTCCGGAAAATGAATTTTTAATGTGCTCTACTGTATGTGAATTCATAATGTTTCCTGCGCCAAGGGCGCGCGGAAGTAGGACTGAAATAAAAGCTACATCCTGTCACTACGGGAATCTTCACCAATGTGCAAAAATCGTAGAAGTGTTTTTTACATTCTCTGACAAACATACACAAAAATAATAATCCGAAAGTCTGAGTGAATCTAACTCAATTTATAAATGCAGGTGGATCTTGAATTAGCCAAATGGGAACCCATCCAAAAGTTAATCATAAGCTTTACTGTTTTCCCAATTGAACTACAGATCTGCAGAGTAACAGCTTGACGGTAGGAAGTGTCAAACGCTCAACACTATCTTGGCGCAACCGGGGAAATCGGTTTACTTGCTCAGTTGCTTACACTGACATCTACCTACAATATTTTTACTATTACCTGTAGGTGCTCCTGCCGCCGACAGACGACGCCCGATGTCAGAGTCGCAGCGGCAGCATATCTTCACGAGGCTCTCGTCGGAATAGCGCAGATCGTCGCGGCAGCGCTGTAGGCATCCGTATGACACAAGCTGCTGCATTGGCAGAGTGGGACGGCCTCTCCGGACACAAAGAACTTGTAGCACGGATGCTTGCCACTGCTCCGGCACCTCGCCAGCTGTCGCCGTACACCGAAGAGGAAGGGGACGATGGGTGCGTCATCTCTGTGCCGCAGACTCATCACCGGCCAACGCGGCATCAAGCACGTGTGCCGTCAGAGGTCGTTCGCTACAACTCCTACGACGACGACGACGACGAAGACGAGGCGGAGGAGGTGCACCATCATCTTCGGCACCAACGACACCACGGCCCCTCTTCGAGGAGCACAGAATCTGAGGGCGAAAAGCAATTAATATTATCTGAAAGGTGCGGAAACCATACAACCCCGTAGACATACAGTACAGTAGAGCGTTTGGTAAACGCTTCTTAATCTCAGAAAGAATGTGATGCACACACGTTTCTTTACTGTATAACTAAGAGAATTTGATCAATTTAGTAGATTAACGGGACCATCAGTGCCTTGAATCACACATCGATGTCTATGCGAACAAATTAATATTCGAACGTCATTCATTTAAAGTAAATTTTGATCACACATTTCTACTGCACTCAACACTGCATGAAAAAGTAAAATGACTGAGGAATCCAAAAGCAACATCAGCAGAGTAGTGTATATGTTTGGAAGATAGGAAGATGTACGTTTTTTCAATGTTTGTAATTTAAAGTTAACCCTCTATTTTTTATTTCCAACGTGAATTTATCAACAAATCGAGGCTTGATTTTGAAATCATGAAGCCTGTCTGTTGCCTAAAATCTAGGTATTTTTAAAGATTCGATATGTTTTTTCAATTTGGATGCTATTCCATTATAACGTACTTAAACAAAAGAATATTTTTTATATTCATGAAGATCGCCATTGCTTAATTTTCAGTGCATATTTTATCCAGAGTATGCCACAAACTGTCGATTATATTGCAGCCTGAAAAGTTTAAATGTTTTGCGTCGAGGATGTTTTGATAATAGCGTGTGATAGAAATTAATACGAGTGTTAATTCCTTCCTCTTCGCTGGGATTCGTCACTGCTAAAAATTATCATGGTTTTTAAATATTTTGTGACAAAAATGTAATTATTGCCAGTCTGTCATGCCACGAATCTTATAATCGAACAAATTTTGCCTCGTTGATTGAGCGTATCGCTTGACAATTATTGATGTCCGAAGAATGGAGGGCTATTTCCAGTACAGTATTATGCCTTGCGAGATTCAAGTAAGCGGTTGAACAAAATCCCAATTTTGCACAACACGGAATTCACTTTCTAGTTCTGCTTCACCATTCACTGAGGTTTCTCCGGTCAAAATGCTCACCACAAAGTCCCTATATGAGTTATAAATTTCATCAGTACCTTCCATGTTAGGCACCAGTCCCGACAATTTACTGAAATAATGAACTTTCTCTTCCGCATTCGAAAGAAAGTGTGAGTTCTCTTCTGGCTCATGAAGCAGCACGACGTATGTTATAAATTTTAATGCATAGCCGCTATAGCCTGATAAAACTCGTATTAATACTAACGCAATTTTAAACACATATCTAATGAACTTCAGGTAACACTGTTCTCAGATTCTTCGATACGCATCTTTCCTCTTCAGAGGCAAACGTTGGCATTAATTTTTTGCATTGTCTGGGGAATCCACAGAATACATTACAGTACTTATGTATGGAAGGTGTTTGAAAACTCATTACTGTTCACCTGCAAGAGGTCTCTCAAAAGTTTTCGAAATATCTTGAAATGTATTTTTTCGGTTCAATTCCAGGAGCTTGAGGTAGATTTTAAAGAATAATCTCATTCGACACCTCAAAAAATTGAATACTGTATAATGAAATTTGAATAATGGTCTGTGAACCCAGATTTCATGTCAGAAAATACTTTTGCGCTCCAACAGGCGATTTCTAAAAAAAAAGTTCCAGAAACTATGGTTAATGAGAAAAACTCCACAGAAGAGCTCAACATTATTATCTGGAAATATTCCTTGGATTACTTTAGTTTCGGGTGGAATTTATAGCCATAATGGTTTCTCAACCATGCGTGTAAAAAAAATTCTATGAACATGGAAACCCTTTTGAAAATGTTACCGACTGGATCTCATCAAATTAGTCACCATTCTCCAATATTTTTTGCAGCCCATTCCCTATAATTAAACATGAAAGATAAAGAAGATGAAAATTCCCAGATAGATGACTCACTATAGTTATTGTGAAAACCCCCTCGTTGAAATAAATAAATAGCTCCTTTTTGTCTCCAACTTCCCCCACGAAAAAGTGTCCGCTTTTGCAAGCATGACATACTTATTTGCTCTAACGATTTATTAAAATTTACCGAAACTGGTTTTCAGCCAAAATTTGAAAGTTTTGAAATTTGTTTTTGACTGCTAATTTCCATTTGCATTTGTGATGAAAGCTTCCGAGCTTATAGAAAATTGTAATCGTTCGCTGATCGCACAAATGCCATGAAACTTGAGGATTGAAAAATAATAATAGAAATGAAAAAATAAGCGATAGTAAATTTCGTTGTCTTGTCTTCCATTTAAAATCATAGGGGCATGGAGTTTTCCAGAAACATGCGGGACTACGAGTCTCAGTTGAAATCGCAACAGGCCGCAGCCAAGAGGAGCCACAAAATGCGAGCAAGGCCTTCGTCCCGTGAGAAGACGCAGAATGTCAACCACAAAAAGTCTCGACCCTGAGTCTTCGCGAATTTTTTCGTTTCTTTTCATCATCCGTTTTATTTTTTATTTTTTTGCATGTGTGGTACCAGTTTTCCCCGCAGATTTTCTTTCAAGTCACTGCTCGCTCGGGTGTCCGAAAGGGTTCATGCTGGGTATCCTCGGCCTTGACGGATTCTTCTCTCCCCCGGTCAACTTTTTTTTTCTCTTGCCTCCCGCAAACTCCGCCATGTTGTCCTCGCAGAAAAAGAAAGATAAAAATAATAAGCGCCAAAAATTTTTCCCGTTTGTCTGTTTGTTTGCTTGTTTGGCTGCAGAAAAGAAAAATCCCGTTTCGAAGCTAATGGAGCCCGACGGGAAGATTCTCGGGTCGCCCGAGTCGCTTTGTTTTTCGCGTGATACTCGAAATTGGAAAATATTTGTTTCTTCTGGAGACGAGGAGGACGAATGCGTCGCAAAACGTCGGGCACTTTGGTGCTTGTTTTTTATTGAATGGAAATTCCTGGTCTGTGTTGAGAATACTCAGTGGACATAACTGTCTTCTTCCTGTCGTTGGAAATCCCCTACAGAACATTTCCGAGGATGCAAAAAACAAACTGTGTCAAAAATTGATTTGAAGAGGAGAAGAAAAAGCTTTTTCCTGTTTTTGGTTTTTTTTCGACTCGTACGTGCAGTTCCCGAGAATTGCGGAACCGTATATTTTGTGATGTTCTAGAATGCGATTTTTTACGCCCCCACGATGTTCGAAATCCAAGGGGATCGCTGATGGAGAACTTGTTGAAAGTTGGACTACGACGGCTACTGAATGAGTCCTGCATTTGAGCGTGTTCCTTGTGACGTGTGTCGTGAACATGGAGGAATGATGAATAAAATAATATCGATTGGCTACAAGGGTTACGCTTACTTCAGCGTCCATAAATCGGCGAACTCTTCGATTAGAAAGGACCAAGGAGGCACACCATCCTGCAGGTTACTTGGCGATCGTTTACTTTGATCTTCATAGGTGTCGCTCCTTGTTCCTCAATTCGAAAATCCCTGCAAGGAAAACCTCACGCTTTTGCAACGCGATCGCTTCTTCATGTACAACACCTCTGAAATTCTTCACAGCGTTCATTAAGTATTCTGTGTTACGCATTAAATTCTGTAACATGCTACAGTAATACGAAAGAATTTTCACGTATTATATTCCTTCTGTATGATTCATTCGTTCGAAGCATTCACGATTACAGTGAATACAGTAGTGATGCTTTCATCCAATCATCCATGAATTATTTATATATGTCGGACTCTTTTATGATGTAATTCAACACCGCAACATTTTCTGGAATCTCGGTTTTCAAATGTCACCTGAAAATTATGGAATTTTCTTATTCATCAAATAAACTAAATGGACCCATACTTCAAACTATTGTATAAAATTACTTCCTTATTCTCTTTGTTGTATCTGAACTCATTAAAGACAAATCTTTCAAAATTTGACGACAAATCGCTGCAGTATACAGGCTGCAAGAACCTTAAAAGATTGCTGGAGTACCGTCAACTCATTAAAATGATCGCAAGACTTCTTGAATTATGAATCATTCCCAACAGTTATCATTTTCTTTATCTTCAGACTGCCGTGAACATGAGAATCCTCACGGGTTTTATTGGATGTGCAACATGCAAGACTGCAGAGGACTCATCATAAGTTTGGCTAAATTTAACAAGGTTTTCATTGATATATCTTCTTGAAACGCAAGAAAAGGAAGTATTGGAAGTACTGTACTTTAGTAGATTTGCATGGAATTTTCAAAAGTTTTCGTCCGTGAGGCAAAAATTGAAAAACGAAAACTTGACCTTGCTTTCAAATTTCTGACTCATACTGTACAGTACAGTCAAACCTCGCTAAGCCGCCAGTGTTAGTTCAGCATGATTTTTGTGAAAAAAATGAGTTCAGGAAAAACAAATACTGAGATGAATCTTTCTCCTATACCCTAATGTTTCGAAAGATGAAACTGCATCAGTATTTCATGGAAAAATAATTCAAACACAATAAAAAAAACGGCATCAAGTCAAAGACAAAGTGACTGCTTGGCCCTCAAAATTATTTTGCCAGTCTGCAGGAAATAGCTCCAGGCCAATGAATTTTTCAAATGTAGCAATTAAGGATGCTACAGTACAGTATCTTTATCTTGAATTTTGGTGAGACAATGGCAGTTGAAATTTTCTCCTGAAAATATATTTTGGCATTTCTCTTATATCAATACTCCAGACAAATTTTGGCCTGACTTGATAAATTATTTTAATTTTTGAAACTTTGAAACCTTTCTTCAAGCCAACCTCTCTATTTCTTTAAAGGCATTCCACAATAACTGCTTCAATTGTGCTTGAATTGAGGAAAAAAAGCTTTTTCAAATACCTGTCCTTCAATACTGTCTTCCAAGCAAAACTTTTTTGAGCATGCAAATATTTTATGAAATTTTATTTGCTGATCTTCAGAAAATTTCATTAAACTGTCAGTTTGCAGAGAATTCTGAGGAAATTTGCCTGTCTGTAAAAAAAGGAAATTTGCCAGTCAGTGGGACCAAAAAGATCAGGAACACTGCTGTAGATCAAAGTTTTAGATATATCATTAAGGTTCTGAAAATTTGCCTTTTGTATTGTCTACACAATTCTTGGTGTTTTTTATTTGATCTGAATTAAATTGGATTAAAAGTAATAAAAACATACTGGACTAGGAAATAGTAAAGCTCTAAAGTCAAGTTTTTCCACTTGGTCAACTTTTCTGTGAAGCTGGTGAAAAAAAATTCTTTTTCTTTGTCATTTTTTATGCAATACCTGCTGAACACTCTCTTGGTCAGAAAATCTTATAGACAATACACAGTAAAATCTTCTTACAACAAATACTATTACAACAACTTTTTCAGTACGCAAACTTTTTTCATGTCTTGGCAGAAATCTTGTAAGGTACATGGTATAAAAATCTTGTTACAACAAACTTGCCAATTCCAGTATAACACACTCTTCTGAGGAACATGTTATGATTTCTTAATGAAAAAAACTTCAATGAAGGCAGGCACAGTCTCACATTTCTTATTCAAAGTGTGACTGTGACAGATTCTTAGGAATAATAGGTGGAACCAAGAACAAAAATTATTCAAAATTCATCTTTGCATCCTCTTTTTTTTAAATTGTTCCTGATGGATTAGGGGACAGGTGAAGAAATGAACCCAGCAAAACTCATGTTAAAATGGGTTAGTATGCTTCAGAAACCCTATAGAGATTTAAAATTGTAAGCTTTTTTTTGCAACATCAGCCCATACAATCTGTGTAGAATTGCTTAGAAAAACTTGAAGTCAACAAAAAGTGATAGTATTCAACTGTTATTCAGAGTAAAAGTTTGTAATTAAAATTATTTTAATCACAGTTTTTCAAACACTGAAAAAGTCACAAAAGGAAGATTTTGAATTTATGCTGGCATAATTTAAAGACAATACTCCAAACAGTCAATAATTTTGAAAATCTAGTTACAACAAATTATGTGTTGTAAAAAACTTTTTGTGAGGTCCCCACAAGTTTGTTGTAACTAGATTTTAATGTATTAAAAATGAGAAGGCATAGGAACACCCAAAGTCCCATTTTATTCAATCATCATCAGAAACGGTTTTGAGGCTATTCCTTTTCCATGAAACGCCCCACACAGTAGCTTCCATTCTCTTCTTCTTCCTTTGCAGAAGCATTTAAGCAAACTCAGATGGCCGCGTGATGGTGTTGTGTTACACCAGTACTTGTCAGCTGGAAGTGGCCTTTGGCTCACTTTAATGCAAGCACCGTTATTCCGGCGTCTGAAAATGGACGAAAGTTGTTCAAGTTATGACAACACGATTCAATAGATGACGCTCGAGTACCCAAAGCAGTGTTGGGGAGGAAAAAAGTTGTTGGTCGCGGGTGAGGGGATCGAGCGATTCCATGCCATGCGCATCCCAAGCCCCGGTCCGCAGTTCGCCAAAAAACAGTTCCCACTGTGTCACGCACCGAGCGGTCCTCCTCCCAGGCGCCCAGTACTGATTCCGAGTTGGCCACAAGTACCTGGCAAACGGCGGGACGAAAAAAGCTCGCAGAGAGGGTGGGGGGGGGGATGTAGAAGAAGAAGGGGGGAAAGGTACCAGCGCTCTCGCCAAGGAGCCTTTGAGCCCCGGCGTTCTCCGCGGAACTCCGCCTTTGTGGCCCTGTTCTTGGACGAGAGACGTTGGGCCCGCCTCGCTATCGCGCGTGATTATTGAAGCTTGTATGGGCCTTACATGTTGAGTAGCATATTGTTCGAGTTCCCACCCAGCGGCGCGCGGCGTGCTGTCTGCGGGAGGGAAGCCCGGGCGAGCAGCAAGCAAAGCGAGCCAGGAGCGGGCAAAACGCGCGGGCCCGCCGAGCCCGGGGTTTCGAAGCGGACGCGCGCCAGTTGCCCGCGTGCCGTCGGAGTGCGCTCATGGTTTTTCACAGTCAGGCGTCGTGGTCATCGTCGTCGTCGTCGTCGTCGTGTGATGGGTATAGAGGAGCAGAAATGCCCGTCGTGTTTTTCAGCAAGCGCACCACATGTGTACTGAAAATGTGTGCGTGTGTGTTGTGGTTCAAGAGTCGTTCGAGCCAACATGCTGGTGCCGAGGGTGGTTCATTGTCCTGATTTTTTCGGAGAAGCGGAGTCCCGTGATTGTGCCTGAAAATTATCGCGCTGTGAAACTGTCTCTTCTTAATGACGACCGAACTCGGAAACGCGAAATGCAGTGATTTTTTTCGGTGTTCATGAGTCGAAATACTGCACTTTTTTCTCACGAAAATTAATATTTTTGCTGACGCATTCGAGATGCAATTTATAATGCATCACATTTCTTCAACCAGATGATTATTTCGTAATACAGAGCAGCGAAGTTTTTCACCTGAAAAAATAAAAAATAATCCCCTGGTATAATGCGCACCCAATTTTCAGTGACTCGAAAACTGCAATATTTAAAAAAGATCACCCAAATATGAATTTAGGCCTGAATTGATCCTGACTTCAACAAATCTTGAATTATTTCTAATGAAGTAAATTTTTCTTTGAAAATCTACCTACAATTTCCAATTAGAATCAAATGTATCGAACACCTGAATTTCCAAATCTGTTCAAAAAATGTATACCCGTCCATGACGTAAACCCAATATTTTCCTCTAAGTTTTGAGAAAAGGTGTGCGTAGTACCCAAGTAAATACGGCATGTTGAATTGATTCAATTTCCAGCTTGATTTATTCAAAAACTAGCGATAGGCATCCGGAATACATAAATTTTTTATCCCGTGAAAATAAATGGTAAAATGATTTTAAAATTTTGAATTCGAAGATAAAATTACATTTAAAATATTGTGCTTGTTTGCTGAAAAAAGGCATTCAAGTAAATTTGGAATCTCGTGCTTTTTAAGTCAATCGAATAAATGACGCACCATGAATTTTTTCAATCGACTTCTGAGAAAATTCAAGTGTTGTTTAATATTCGAGTAACAAATACAATGACAAGGAGTTTCTGGTTATTTCTATGTGTTAGTCAGTCAAGTACCGCTTGCCTTGCGCCATTGGTTTATTGCTCATCGCCATTTTTCGTGACTCGCAAGGACGCCATATTTGTTGCAAAATTTTGATCAACCGTGCTAGTAATTGGTTGAATTTTCCGGAATTATAAAATGTCGCGGATAATGACATTTCAAAATGTTATCCGACAAAATCGTGACTGATTGAAATGACCCCAGATTTTTCACTGCCATTCAAGATCGTCTCTAATTTTACTGCACTTGCGTGTATCACAATCTGATTTAAAAGAAATCTAGTTCAAATTTTGAGGTGCAGTAAGTAGCCTGTTCCATGTAATAGCGCTGAATTAAATTACTTTGGGCGAAATTGACCGAATACCCGGTTAATCTGAGCATTTATAATTGTGCTGTACTGTACTTACACTTCACTCTGTACAGTTTAAAACTCGAAAGGCGATTTTCTTTCATAACATTGTGTAAAATAAATTGCTTTCAGAACCTACCGAAATTTGGATTTATGTAAGACGTAGAAGTTCATGATTTTTTCTTTAAAGAATGTGGCTGAAACGTTCGCGTGATCGTATGAGTGTACCGTTCCACGATCAAAAAAAATTGTTCGACATAATGTAAATTTCCTATTCATAAATGTGAAAATGGTGAAACATTTAATAGAAGATTCGATGGAAGGAGTATAAACAGCGGCTAATTGAAGCGGTTGCAAAAATCTCGCGTCTCACAGATCGGATGTTTTTTGACGAAAATATTGCACAAAGGTCGTATAGAAAGGGTTTTACAGGTGCTCGTGAATGTTGTCATTTAAACACGGTGAAGACAAATCGATACACTCTTATCGAAGTGGACAATGTCGAGTGGGAACACGAATTAAAGTATTCAAGAATTCCATCAGCTTTCCTCAACCTGGTTTGAAGTTTGGTGTCTTATCAGATTGGGCAGTTAATCGCATAATCCAGTTGTGCTTGATGAGGAACTCGTGTCCCGGGAATTCAGTTTTGTTCGAACTCGCTCTCAACAAAATATCGATAATGCACTCAAAAAAGAGTAACATTAGAACATTTTATTTTTTAAATAAAGAACTGTTAGTGTGGAAATTTTGTCATGCACTTGAATACTTTTTTATCGCGTTGTATTATTGCTTTTTCAGAGAGCCGTAGCGTTTTCATGTGTATACATTTTTCAAGAAAGTGGTGTTCCAATTCCGATTTTGTTGAATAGGATGGTTTCTGTTCTGATGTCTTTTTTTTCGGAGTGCGATTTTAACATACTCACGCGTTTGCAGTAATGCGGATATTGACAGATTTTATTTTTACCTCGTTTCGAAAAATCCTGAGAAGAAATGTCTGTCGGAAATTAGTCTTTTTGAATTTCTTCTATATAGAGTAATGTTTACATCATTTTTTAGTGTTCATATACTTGGCTGAATTTTCGTAACGGTATCGGTATTACATGTTTTCGCTCAGAGCGCCTGTTCGAAATTTAAAATATTAGCACAGGTAGACTCTACAACGAAATTCGAGGGACTAGAAAAAATTAGTTGCAGATAAAATTTCGTTTTAGAGAAGTCCTATAATATGGGAAGAGAACCCTATGGGACAGGAAAAATAATGGATTTACTATCCAGAGAAAATCGTTGCTGGCAAGATTGTTGCAGAAAAAGTCAGCCTGTATTTTTGCCTTCGCGAATGTCAGTGTTCTCAAATACGTTTTACTGAAATCGTGTATATTTCGTGGTGAATGGCAGTGTATGCGTGTGTGTGTGTGGACTCCGTTGTCTAACCTGTGATATTTATTATGTGAGCATCTTGATGCGATGTGAACCAGTTTCACCCGAATGTTTTCCCCCTCCTGTTCGAACCCGTCTCGTGCGGATTTGAACTAAAAAAAAAAACAGGGGTGTTTTTCCAGAACTATTGCGTGAAACTCATGTCTGAGTGACGGCGACCGAAGAGCCCGGTCTAATCAGAGCTTGAAGTGCGTTCGCGAGGCGCCCAGCTTGCAAAGAGAGACCATCTCGCGTTTGTGACCCAGTGTGCCTCCTTTCCCCCCGTCCCCCCCTCTTCGCGCTTTGCCTCTCCTTTATATAAAAAGAAGGCCTCATCTACAGTGTGTTGCAAAACGAAAAGAAAGCTTCCGAAATGCGAATCTAAGTCACCACCCCCAGCCAGTGTTTCGCGAGACATCGTTGCCGCTGTGCCTCAGACAGACTTTTCTTGAGGCAGTCGTGCGGTTTCGCTGTTCTTAACCCCACCCCGACACACACAAACACCCAGAACCTCACCGTTTGTCGATTCGTCGGATCCGTTTCGAATAAGAAGAAGAAAGTTGAAGTAGGGCGAAGGAGTCGAATACCGAGCAAGCCGGTGAGCTACTGAGGAGAAAAAAAAAAAGAGTTAGATAAGTAAGGAGAAGGAAAAGAGGAAGAAGAGAGCACACCTCTTGTTTCAAAGTGCGTAGCGTAAAACGCTCGCTGGGAAAGGAATTTTGAGATTCTCTCGGGAACCGGACGGCCGGAAAATTTTGCCCGGGGAGCAGTGGGAAGCCCTTGGGCAAGGGCTACCACGCGAGAAGGCGGGCGCCATTTTCGGGAAGGCAGATTTCGGCATGATGGACGCGTCCCGCATGCTACATCCGGTGACATCCGTCGGCATGGGCGTCCTGCCGCAGCCGTACGTGATGCAGGCGCCGATGGACGGCGGCCAGTCGGACCAGGACGGCCAGAAACACGACATCAACGAGATCCTGCAGCAGATCATGAACATCACCGACCAGAGCCTGGACGAAGCTCAAGCCAGGCAAGACAATTTCTTTTTTTTTTTCATTACCTATTCAGATCTTTATGAAAAAAGAACGAACAAAAAACTCTTTCAACAACGAAATTCAAGGAGCCAGCAAAAAATTTCTTGTGAAGATAATTTCGTTGTAAAGAACCCCTATTACGGTACATGGGGAGAGAGCTCTATGGGATCTCGATAAAAAAAATCGTTGTGCAGAGAAGATCGCTGTAGACAGAGTTCCCTGTACAGTATTCGGTATTACGCATTACAGGGCAACAAAATAAAACAAAATACTGTTCATTAACCCTTACAATTATTGAACGAAGTTATCCGTCTCCCAGATATTTTCGTTGGGTTAAATAACCACGAGATTCGAGGGAAGCAGCTTCAAAATATCGATAATGATGCGCATAAATTATTTAAGAAACGTTGCATATTTCCGAGATGCGGATTTTCACTGTCTGTTTTTTAAGGTATGGAACGTTTAATATTTTTTTCAGTTTAATATTGTCGGAAGACTCTTAAAATACAACGTGAGAGAAGTTTCAAACTGGTCGTTCTCCTCGAAAATATTTCCGAATAGCAGCTCACAAATTTCGATGATACGCCAACATTTTTGGGGGTGATGATTTTTCATATTTTTTTGGAAGGGGTTTGCATTTTTACTGCCTATTTTTCAAGATGTGTTGCTTGACTTGAATGTTCTCAATTTGATACTGAAGCAGTACTTCTAGAATAAAACTTGAGATAGATTTTTCAACTGATTGTTAGCTTCGAAAATATTCGAGAATAACAGCTCCAAAATGCCGTCAATGATGCTCGAGAACTATTGAAAGCTGAGGATTTTTCGCACTGTATTTCGGAGTAGTTGTGGATTTTCATTGAAAAATAGGTTTCGGAAGGTCCCTCCATTTCTTCTCGATGGGATACTGACGCAGGAATAATGAAAAATTAACTGAACTTACCGTCGTGGAATAAGTTTTTAACCTGATTTATCCCCCTCGAAAAATTGTTGAGCTGTTGCCGATGAAATTCTGCGAACGATGTATGTTGTTCTTCTGATGTGTAAAATACTGTAAACGGGAAATTTTATATTTTTCATTAATAACTGCGAATTTCAGCTTGAGGTTTACGGTGTCATCGATTTGTAGAATTTGAGCTCAAATGTAGATGGAAATGTACACTGAAGTTTCCAACAGAAACATGTTACAAATAATTCGCCATTTTGGAGTAGTTAAATCGACATCAGGGTACCTGTAAATGTCTGGTGCACATTTTCAATGTTGTAAACTCATTTTATCGGAGGAGTATGCGAATTTTTTCAAATGTCA